GGGTCTGCAAAGATTCAAGACACCCATTATTAAGCAGCAACAATAAACATATCCTGTATTTTTACATTTAGATTGCCTTTGCTGTCATCTAATGTTCACTTAAAGGGATCGTTATCCCTGAAAATTCAGTCCAACCAAACAGTTGCTGGTAGCCATATTTGGTTACCAACATTCTTCTACATTATTAATTCTGACAAAACGGGTCACATGAGGCTGACAATTTTCATTTTTAGGTGAACTATCCCTTTAAAAAGTTACTTTTTCTAAACACTAATAATTTAGTAAAACTGTTCAAATTTAATCTTGTATTATTTAAAACAATTAATTTTAGTTTTTTGCTTTTAATTTATTTAGACAAAGTAGGATAGAATTTTAATATCCATATCTGCCCTTATTGTAAATGTTTCATCAGTGGACATTATTCCTAAGACAAAAACTGTTACATTTAAAATCTTTCATCAAAGTAATAACTTGCTCGGCCTCTGAAAACTCTTTCCTATTCAATGATGTCACCAAACACCAGTGTTATTTTACTATCACTGATATACAATTATAGCTTTTGTTAATATTTTGAATTGTATTTTATTTGTATATTTTCAGTTTTTAATTGTGGTTAGAAATGTTCATAATTTTGTTGTGTTTTTGACATTTTTATTAGTTTCTGTTTTCCTTTTTAAATGTATAGTTTTTATTTATTACTTAAACTAAATAAGAATGAGAAACGTTGCCTTGACAACTACCTGAAATATAAATATATTTTTAATGTTTTCTTTTATTTCAGTAAATGTTTATTTTATTCAAGTAATGAAAATGTTTTTTTTTTTTAAGGTTAAGTTTTAGTTTAGATATATAATAATAACCCTGCCAAGCATTTCTTTTCTTTAGCTTACCTTTTTAGTTTTTTATCAAATTCATAATTGCTAAGATACACATCCTATAAAATGGTACATCCTACTAACCAATTTGTATCATTTCAAGCCAGCGGTACCTGTGGAAGTTGACTTCAGTCTGCCAATCATGAGACCCAAAGTGCAACAGTTTGCTGCTAAGACCAAGAGGCGTGGCTTATGGAGAAGAGCAGGCAGTGCTTCGCTCAGCATGGTCTCCAGAGCAATGAAACAAGGATCATTCCTGAGAGAGCACAATGGAGCAGTGCATCAATTCATGGTTAAGGAATAACTTTACCCGTGTGTGAGTTCAGATCTGTGTGTACCTGACTCGTTCTGGCTCTGTGATGGCAAAGTTGAGTAAGGCCGAACACGCCGTTTCCAGACTGGGGTCTCGGGTCACCGTTTTACCACTCTGACCTCTCAAAGATGCCCAACCTTTACTTAGAAAATCCACAAGCATGGCTGGAGTATCCAGCGAGAGAAGAACCCGCCTCGGCCCATCTTCAGCGGAGAGGTGGCACAGGGCTGAAAGAAGATATCTAAGAAAGAGCAGGAACACATATCTACTTAAAAAGACAGCATAAGGTCTGTCAGCATAAGATCTGAATTTAAAAAAAATAAAATATACACATTTTGCAGATTTTATTTTATTAATTTCCATGACCTTTCCAGGATTGTGGGAACCTTCTATTAAAAAAAGGCATAATAGTGTCTTACCTAAGAGCAGCTTCTCTGCTCCAGGTCCCATCTTGTGAACTGTTGCTGATGGACATCTTTGACATCCAATCAGCAAGTCCCTTGCTTTCTCCCCCTCCCTTGAAGTGACTTTTAGCATAGCCGATTAGAAAAGGCAAGAGGTCAATGACATCTTCTTTCAGACATGAGGTTTCTTCAGCAAGCCAAGCACAGAGGGAGCGGAAAGTGGCGAAGAGAAACGGGTCATCATAGCTGGTCTGTGCCAACTAAATGGGGAAACAATGAATAACAGTTTATAATTCTAAGTATTCTAAGTATTTTCCCATTTAATTAAAGTTCTTCAAATAGACTTCTAACAATACATTCACTTTTGTTCATAAGTATGGGATCAGTACAGATACTTTTATTCAGCAAGGGTGCATTCAATTGATTAAATTATTTCTATCTATTTCAAATAAATGCTGTTTTTAAACATTCTGTTCATCAAATAATCCAGAAAAAAATGTATCACGGTTTCCACAAAAATATTAAACAGCACAGTTGTTGACCATAATTAGAAATGTTTCATAAGCACCAATTCACCAGAAAGATTTTTAATGGATCATGTGACACAGAAGACTGAAGTACCGGTAATGGCTGCTGAAAATTCAGATTGGGCATCACAGGAATAAATAACATTTTAAAATATACTGAAATAGAAAAGTAGTTATTTTAAATTGTAATAATATTAAACAATATTCCTGTTTTTACTGTATTTTTGGTCAAATAAATGCAGCCTTGATGAGCATAAGAGACTTCTTCAAAAACATTTAAAAAAAAATCTTACCGACCACAAACTTTTGAATGGTAATGCAGTAATACATATATTTAATTTAACACTTGCATTTAAACCATTCTCACCTGTTTTAGATAGTACATTTCAGCTGAGAAGGCCTCCTCCAGAGCTCCTAGGACCTGTCTGCTCTGCTGAAGACTCAGGCCAGTGATAGCTGTCTGTATCTGGGCAGGATTTGAAACCGCCCCCTGGCTACAGGCTTGTTCCATAGCCGCCTCCATGATGCGATAGCAGGCAGTGAGTGTGTGCTGCAGCTGGGGGGAGATCTCTGTACCCGGCGGCTCTTCTAGACCCATCCTCACCTCCACACATGCCCGGTTCACCAGCAAGCAACAGAATTTAGGAGGTCCTGTGGACTCCCATCCATACAGGTCCAGAAGGCAGGCAGATACCACCAAAACCAAGCCTAAATGCTCTTGACTGAGCTTGCCCTGAATCAAAGGCCGCAGCGAAGCCCATAGATTACCCACAATCTCCTTAAGCACCTGGCTTTCTGACTCGACCCCGGGTGGAGGAAGAAACGGCGGTATTTGAGAGCACATCTCTAATCGGTCCTGATCTGAAACTCGGCAGAAGTTTTGCGAGATGGTTCTCAACAGCGAGAGAAGGTTGGACGAGTGTCTAGCCCAAGCCCGTGGTCTTATGCTAGATGACAACAGGTGTCCCAACAGCGGAAGCCCTTTTTCATGGCTGAGAGTTTGTTTTATGAGTACGGCTCTACATAGAGCCAAAACCGCACCGCGGGTAAGAAGCTGCTCGGGGCCTTGTGGTAAAGCACATACAGCATTTAGAACCTGATAGCAGTCACAAGCCAAAGCCTCATCCAAGGCAGACATACTAGAAGTGGTCTGGGAATCTGTAGCACTTTCAGTTTGAGATCCAGAGCCGTTCTGGGCTTCATTCCCAAGTGTTTGTGTTTGTTTATCTGTCCATTTGGGTCCGTTCTCCAATATGCTCAGGATCAGAGGGACTGTGCTGAGAAGTTGTGGATGAGCAACCATGCTTGCGTCTGTGCTGAGAGCAGCCAGCAGAGCAGTGCCCAGAGAGATCAACTCCTCCGGGGGCAACCTGGAGCTGTCACCACCCCGAAATGCTGTAACCAGAAGGCGTGCGGGCAGATTAAAGCCTACCGCTTCAAAAATCCGATGGAGAGTCCCGGTATCCAGCTGTCCTGCTGGACACAACCTTGTGATCTAAACGCAAGAGATAACAATGAGCAATACAATATATGTTTTCGGTATAATTTAGATGAGGAGGATAAGTTGTTGTTGTTGTTTACCAGGAGAAGGGCTGCTAAAATGTGGCTGTCATTCTTGGCATGACTGAGAGCATGTAGACAGCGCTCCAGAACCTCTCTCTGAGACGGAGACAGACCACTGGGGTCAGAACTGCACCCTTCTGCTGCAGTTGGCTCTGTACTGGGTGGACTCCGTGGAGCATAGACTTCCTCTGGCTTGAGATGACATCCATTCTCTGCCATCTTCTGGGCCAAACTGTGAACAACCATCAGATATTCACGGATCAGAAGTTATGATAACTGCTTCAGAAACTAGTCCGAATGTATACATGATATAATGCCTGGTGTTTAAGTTACTGATTGTGCTTCAATATGTCAGATTCAGGACTGAAAAAAATGCCTAAGGCATATTCCGGTCAGCAGGTTAACAGGTTTAAGAGTTCACATCAGGTTAAATCACAGAGCTGTAAAGGTAAATGACTGTCGTTTAATGATTTATTATTGTATTACAAAGAACTAATATGTTAAGAGTTGACTGAGTAGTAAGCAAACGTAAAACTAAACATTTTAAAACCATATTCAACACATACGAATGTCCTAAATAATGTAGATTAGTGTAAATCAATCAAAAAGCCACAAATACATACCTTATGCAGCGAACAAACCTGGAGCCAAGCAGGATTATTTTACACACACGTTGAAGCTACGTGGAGACGGAAAAACTCGCGAGACATAACGAGAGAACTCGATTTCAAAATAATAGTCTTCGGTAAACGAAAGAAAAACAGCAATGCGATGTTTTTTTTTTTAAGAAATGAAAAATCTCAATATATGTGTATGTGCGCGTTTGGAATGAAATAACAAAAATATGATGCCAAACTGTGATTTTGTAAATATGGAGCACGTTTAGTAATGTACCTGTATAATGAAAACTCAAATACAATGTAATAAATAGTAAAGCAAGGTACATTAGGCACATGAATACTTAGAGTGCAAATATTAATATTATGTTATATTATAATATAAATATTAACATTTATAATACCAAAATCTAAAATTAATAAAAAAGAAATTAATAAAATGAAATAACACTAAAAATATACACAATACTGATTGAATATAGTACATGAATACTTTTAATAATATCATTTTATTAATAGAATGTGAATAAAATAAATACAATATACTATTAATAATTATATTATTAATAGTATAGTATTATTATACTATAATACAAATATTATTAGAGCCCAAAATATAAAACATAAACAAATTAATTAATTAATAAATAAAAATGTTATGCTTTTCCTGACTGGATTTAGAGGTTCCTCTATGTAACACAGGAAACAGGAAATGATGAAACAGGTCATGGCTAATGCTCCTCTGTTTGAAATGTTTGAATGCGAGCGAGTGTAGAAGTTTAGCAATTATTACTGTTATACACCAGAATTAAAGTACTTACGGACCAGGAGCAACGCCAATAAGCGCAGTGAGTTTCTATACAAAGCGCGTAACATTACTCCGAACTTTGAGCGCTGAATTCAATGCTCCGTCCCTTTAGTCTCATCCATTCATAAATAAACAAATAGTTTTTATTCCATAAGCACGGCCCCACTTTCGTGTTTAGCTGACTTAATGAATGATCTCTGCTTTTAGATGTCTGCTTCACTCCCTCAGAAGGTTCTTGGTCCGGGTATGCCTGGCATGCCCCCTCAGCAGCAGCAGCAGCCGCAGACACACATGCCTCCTGGCCTCGCGCAGCCTGGGATGCCCCCACAAGGTGCCCTACGGGAAATCTCTCCCGTTTACCTGTGCCGCATCGGTCAGGAGACTGTCCAGGACATCGTCACACGCACTATGGAGATCTTCCAGATCACACGGGCCACTCAGGTGAGTTTGCGTCCGCGACATTTAAATATACAGGGGGTCTGACGCTAGTGCGCAGTACGACTAGTAGCTAGTCATTCCTCAGATTCAAATCAAGACATCTAATTATACCATTATTAGTACTATTTTTTCAGCTTTTGGATGGGGAAATAGAAATGTCAAAAGTTCAAACAAAGCAACGAACAATGCCATATTTTGATGAATATCAATATCCTTTATAATCAGAGCAGCATCTAAAAAACACATACACCACTGCAGTAACATAATACAGTTCAAACACACTGATACTCTAATACTAAATGAACACATTTATGAGTTTGAAATGTAGTATTTCTTAAAACTTCTTCCATTTGTATAAAAGCACCTGAACTGCTCTGCATGGTTTCAATAAAAACAGGCCAGTCTTCAGGAAATCAAGCTCACAGAATAAAATCTCTCCTTTGTTCGCCTCAGTTTTGTTTTTTGCACCAGAAGCAAAATTGTGCTGCATGCTGCTGACACATCAATGCGAATGTATCAGCTTGCAACTTGAAGAGAACATAACCTTTTGGCATGTTATATGTGGACAGTGGATGAGTCTTATATTCCTATGCATTAAGATGTATTAAAATCGTAACCAAACATTAGAAATAAAACATACAAAACATATAAAAGAAAATCTATATTTCTGTTTGGACATGCATAAAATATTTCTGAGTTTGAGAAGCAAATTCCAAATACTGGATAATAAATTTCACCGTGGAACTGTGTTCAAAGACAAAATAAGACTAGTGCAGTGTTTCCCCTGACATTATTAGGGGGGCGGCCCGCCCTCCCAACGGCACCCCCCGCCCCCCTTGAAGGTCAAGTAAATTTTTTTAAATTTTATTTTCTCTATAGCGCCAGATCACAACAGAAGTCATTTAAAGTTACCTTTCCTATAGAACATGTCTATACCTTGTTCTTTTATTAAACAAACTAAATAGCCTTATGTTATTTATCTTATTTACACAACGGCATGTCATTTCTGTCTCTACATTACATGGTCGCGCTCTCTGTATCGCGCACAGCGGAGTTCCGCCCCGATGCCACACACAAGTGAGCAGACTCCCACTCCCACTAGTATTTGTGAATATTAAGCCACAAAACGACTATTTAAATATGAATTTTGCGTGTCTCTGTGTTAATGAATGGCGCAGACGCGCGGTTTTGTTTACTACTCGAACTGAAGTGGCCTGATGCTTCCGTAACAATAAAACATAAGGTTGGAAAAAATAAAACATTTTTGAGCCCTAAACATGTCATTTTTGTTAAACTTTGAATAAATTGATGTTAAACTTTAAGTTTCATGATTTTAATTAATTAGACATGCTTTTTGATTAATAAAATGTAATTTAACAATTAAATAGGAGTCCAGAAAAAAAAAAATATATATATATGACAAATTAAGAGCTGAATTAACATTGCTTTATATTCTGAAATGTAAAATAAATATTTAATGAAACGAGTATAAAACAAATTTGTAAATGCACCAGTGTGCAGGCATTTTTAGTGTTTTATACATAAGATAAGATA